GTCTCGATTGTGCATGTTTTTCAGATTCTACATAATGTACAATACAAGATGAATGCTACTTGCGACATGTGCCTTATACACACCCTGGAACTACACAAATGTGTTGTGTGGAGATATTTCATTTGGTGCTTGAAGGTATTTTTGGCTATGAAAAAGCATGGATCTGATTTACTAAGGTGTGAAGCAAGCCTTTATTCAGTTCACTCATTTAATCAGAAGATATACCTATTTTATTGAAAATTTCTCTGAACATGACGGGAATATTTGCAATGAGCACAGGTTCAATTCAGCACACTTTTTCAGGTACTAAATGCAGTGAAAAGCTTTTAGTTTTGTCTAAAGCCAATAGCCTTGTCCAAATATAGACTTTCCCCTCTTAGAAACATATGCAAACAATCAAGCGTACAGTCTCAGTTAATACTCACCCTCAATCCTAAATGTTTATAGCAATCATGCAGCCTTGATCCACAACACTGATTTATGGAGAGACCCATTTCTTGGCCTAGTGGACCTCATTAGAACAAGTCTGGTAGTTCTGGTCAGCATATCAGGGCTTTGAGTCACTTCACTGTAGTACTAGGCACAGGCCCATGTTTTGGTTCAGCAAAAGTTGTGCATTTACTTTAAAGATCCAGTCGAAGGAGCAGTCACTTACAGACCTTTAATGCAAGATGTTAGAAGTCCTTCGTCCTAATGAAACGTGTATGTTTGGGTGGAAGAAAGTCTCCATGCTGCTACTAGTACCCTAGAAAATCACTCTAGAAAAGCAACTTTTTGTAGTGCAGGTAAAAAAGAAATATAGGCTGACTTTGCAGACTCCGCCTGTCAAAAATGCTATCTGGTTGTCATCCTGGAGCAAACATACAGCAAGTAAGGTCAGACCTCTGGAGCTGCATACCTTTTCCAGCTTAGAAACCTCATTGCATTGAACCCAAAGACAGCCAGGCAACTAACATTTTACATAAGGACAGCAACGGCTCACATATTTCTCTCAGTATGAACCGAGTACCTCTGTTCACCAGTAACCATCCTTCTCACAGCCCAGGGCCAGTACTTTGTAACCCTGTGCGAAACCTGTGCATAACAAGGTTACGGACAGGTCCTACCATGAATAGCATGTCTATCACTGGTGAACGTCAGGAAGCACAAGGCAGATTTTCCCATCCTTTATGCTAATTATAATTGCAATATATTTTAATAGATAACATTTTTCATAATAAAAACCATCAGACTGTGGTGTTGAACAAAGAGCTATTTATTAGTATAACACTTTTTTTCCTCAAAGTATCAATAGCAAATGAAGTATGTACAAATTCTTACAGCATTTACACCATAAAAAAAGGTTTGTTTTTCGGCCTTCTGAAGTTTACAAAGTGAGGACCTCTAAGCAGTGATACTGTAACAACAATGTAGCAGGCACTACATTTACTCATTATTCCTAGTCAAATACACTTGTCACCTATACATGCATTTATTTAATAAGATTTTGTAATGAGCAGTGGTGTGCAGCAACCCATCACAGCCAGTCAGGAGCCAGTAGATTATACTATCCTCACGCCAAAAGGTGCCTATACCCTGTAGCACAGAAAAGTCACACTTGATCTCCTTTGCTGATAACTGGCTTATGTATTAGTAAGCTTTCAAGGTGTGGTATCCACTAAGATATCAAACAGCCAGGGATGGAAGATGTGGTCGTACCTGAGACACTTAAGAGTAAGTATGCCACACAAGTTTGCTACATAAGCAGGAAACCCACATCTGTCAGGTCACTTTTGCGGAGTATCCAACCACTCGAAAAGAGGGCGAAGTGTCAGGCAGCAGTTTGTTAATCTTTGGGTGGTTTAAAATAGCCATGAATACTAAAAATGATCATCCATTTACACATCTGGATGTGTTAAACTTGCAGACCATTGAAGGATGCTAGAAGAGTGTACACTGATCATTTATAAATTCATACTATTAGCCATTTTTCTGTTTTGATAAGTGGGCAGCGATGGAAGAAAAACACTTATGATGGGTTAACATCATGAAAACCCATCATGAAAGACACATGGGGGTATAGTTATAAAAAATTTGCATAGCTATTCGTCCAGCGAAACTGCATGTACATTCGTTCTGTGTGAATTAGGCTACTGGTGTGAGAATAGGGCAAAATCAAATGTTCTTAAGGCTATTTTCTCTTCTGGTCAAATGTTCTTCAAATATTATGGGGAGTAGTGAATTGGGAAAATACCAGGTTTTGGCCACTAGATGGAACGGAGGATAATAAGAAATACATTTTAGAAATAAGAGATACAATGTAACAATTCTAGAGAATACTGGAGGGAATTATCAGATAAATGTAACCATTGCTACAGTGATTGCATAGTGATTAAGCCATTAAGCAATCCTTTCTCTACCAAACATGTACAATCTCCTGGATAGTTCACAATATTTCTGCTTAAAAACGAAGGATCAACAGGAACCGATCAATCTTCTCCAAAAACCGGACTGTCCTTACAGTAAATCTGTACAATGCAAATGTGTAGCTCCTCTGTGTCATAAGCGCTCACAACATACAATTGGTGCCTGTGTATGAACAAATAAAACTTGGCCATGCATTCAGCAATCTTTAAGGTCCCTTCTTGAAACCCCCCCTCACATTTTACTGGGCCATTACGGTGTACTATTACCGTGCATTGTGTTGAGACAGTCTATTTATTATAAAAGGGGCTGCCAAAGCACAACAGCTCAAAAATCATACATGACTCTCTTAACACAGTACACCAAAGCGCATGTAGATTGTGGTGCACTACAGCCTACTGTAATAGTGTGTTTGGGTGATATTCCAAATTACATTCTAAAACACGTTTTAGCACACAATACTAAAACATGCACATGAGAACTGGGCCTAAACAATTTTATTATACATTTAAACACAGTACGACTGTTCCAAATATTTGGCCCCTGTGCTGATTAACACAGGGGCAAAATATCTGGAAAACGGTCATACCTCCCTCCTGTGTACCTGGAGGTAGGCTTAAGAAACCTTTGCACACCAAACACACGCACATACAAAAATGGATCTATTTATCATGCCATCACACCTTTAATGGTTATTGGCAAAGGAGGTCTAAAGTACTTGTAGCTTTAAAATCTTATTTGGGATTCCACATGACCTGTTATCTCAGGACTGATATCAGTAGTGAAAGCTGTTATTTGAAGCACTTCTTGGTGAAATATGGTATGAGGAACTAGCATGAGATACAATGCAACTGCATAGGAACTGTTGGCTGTTCTGGTCAAACTGCAGGTGGCACTGACCTAAATATAGCATGTAAATGACCCCACCAGTTACATATTTGGCCCCCCGTGGGCACCTTAAGAAGAAAACATTGCAAATTCTGACTGGTTAGTAAGAACCACTGCACACTATTGTTCATTACACTTTTATTAAATAAGTCCATTACTGTAATAGCAGCCATGTTGTGCCTATATGATACTGGTATATGGTGCCTGGTGCTTAGAGAATGAAAAGGCTGTGAGCTGGTTCAGCTGACAAAATGGCTATCACCACTGCAAAGAGCATTAACAAAACTGCTCAGTAGAACATCAGCTGATTACCCACTGGGAAGACACATCATAAGAAGAAAACTAAAAAGACAAAATAAAAAGAATTCTTTAAGAAGGCCAACGTGCAGAAAAAACTGCCATGGGGAACAAAAGCATTTTTAAGTTGTTAAACTACAATACTTTCAAGTGGGACAAACATTCATAGACTGAGATGTAACATATGCAAGACAACAAATACAATTCATTCAGCTAGATTCCAGCTAGTGAGGCTATTCCAGGATTTGAATTTAGTTTTATACTGATATGGCTGTGTGTTTCCATTTAGTTTTTGTCGACAGACTGCTTATGATGTTTAAAAACGATGGTAGCATGGAGTTGCAAAGATTTGTTCTGTTAAAGGCAACTTTTATTAGCTGTAGTTTGCTCTCATTGTTCTTGTCAAAAGTTTAAGACTGCAAAAAGAATGGGAAACAAAATGCACAGATTTTTTGGTCATATGTTATTAGACATCTCTAAATTATGCAGAAATTAGAAATGGACAGTTTGTGAAGGTACCCAGAGAAAGGGCACCGATGTCAAAAGTTTGAACACTGGACCTATTTCTCTCTAAATGTATGTAAAACCAAAAATTATATTGCAGCTTACCAGTCCTTGGATGTAGCAATTGCATTACGTTTCTTTTTGCAGGCCAATAACATTTTGGCAAGTACAGAAAATACCTGTTGATCTTGCCAGAAATGCAGCATCCTCACCACTCCCTATGAACTAAAAAGACAGCATAATCAATGTTGTCTTTTTTTGTAAAGTAGAAGTCCCATCAATCCACCATGTAATGGAGATGGACAAAGGCAGAAATGTTTGAAGACCATTCTGTGTGGCAACCATAGATAGCACAGTTAAGTGTGTAGACACAAAGTGGCATGTTATTAGACGGGTGTTAGTCACAGCATTACCAGGAGAACATAAAGTACAAAAAAAAACAATGAAAAACAAAGGAGGCTTCCCATCTAAGGACTGGTAAGCTGCAGTGTCTACATTTTTGGTTTCTGGGTTTAGATACACCTTAACTTGCATTGACATGTATATGTGTATGATAAAAACAAGCAGCTGATCAGCCAATCTAATTTTAACATAACTTGATGCGAATATCAGTGGTCCCACAAACTGATGCCTATGTTTGCTAACATTTCAGCGGGCACCAGCTCTATAGCTGTTACCCGTCTCCTATGATGCTTAACCAAATAATAAATTGGAAAGCATATAGGGACATACAATTTAGAAACTGCCTATACTGAAATGCATGGTGATGTGAAAGTCATACTCATTAGGAAAACAATCTTGCTATACAAAAGTCCAATTCTTGCCATTTCCTCTTCAAAGAAAAAACCAAGCAAAGACACCATATGTGCCCTGCAAACCTTAAACTGCAAAATATAACAGAAAATATATGTATACAAAACACAATAAGACATATGCATGTTAAGTACATTTTCTACCCTTCATAATCATGTAAACAGTGCACAGTAACACTGAAGTGATCCCATCTCGTACACACAAAAAATGAAGCCATTTTGTGGGTGGGACAATCCTCCAAGAGAATACAACCAATCAATTCGCTAAGAAAGTTTTGACATTTCCAAAACACAAGGCACCAAAAGCTTTATCCTTTAGTCATGCCAAACATTTTCTTGTCACATCTATTTCTTATATGGTATAATGGGTGAACCCACGACGTGGCTGCCACATAGGCATGTATACAAGACAGGCACATTTTAAAACAAAGCTATTCAATTCTGACATGTGGTCTTAAACATTTGGCAGGTAGTGAGTAGATACTACTAGGCTTTGTAGGATTTGTTCAAGTGAAAGCCAGGTCATTTCACATGTTGACAAGCATGCAACTTGAAAACATTGCACAACAAGCAACAGAGAGCAGATTGAAAAGTTTACAAGACTTCAAGTAGACTTGACAACCCTTTACAACTGAAAATTCACATACATGATGGATTCTCGTGGGTTTGCCACTGGTTCACTCTCACACATGGGATACCTTCTGTGAATCCCTAGCTTGCTTAATGCTATATAACCATTTGATAATCCTGGCATTTCTCTCTATGGCAGAAATACCGTACGGCACACGATCATTGGCACTGTCATCTCTAAGGTCACTGTTGCTGTCCTGAGACTGTTCACAGTCTGAGCTGATCATGCTTGCACTGCGAAAGTTTAGAGAAATTATATCAGAATTAGCCCTTGCAAAATTTTCCATCCCGAGGTTTTCAAGCTCTTCAGGATCCAGTCCACAGTAATTAAAAAACCTCTCTACATCTGCATCCACACGAAAATATCTGTCGCTCAAGTCAGATTTTGATCGTTGGAGTGATGGCCTTCGCATGACACCGGAGGTGGGTTCCATATTGTCATTGTCCGGTGACTTGAGGGTGGTGAGAGTTGCAAGTTTGGGTTTTGGGGGCAATGGTGGTGCTGAACTGCTGCATGGTATCGCTTTTATCTGCTTCACATTAACTTTCCTAATGTCTGAAGAGCTATGAGAAACATGTAAAAAAGTATCAACTGATTTGTCAAGAAGCCTTCTGCTGATGTTGGAGTTGGTATCTTGAGGGCTTCCATGACTCTGTGTAGGGTAGACCTTTAAAGACTCTGCAAATGAATGTCGGTTTTGGTCAGCGGAGTCTGACCGATTTGGAGGCCAGTTCCGAGAAGTTTGCTTGTGCACAGAAACTGTACTAGAGCCTTCAGAGCTGTTGATAATGTTTTTAAGGATCTCAAGCTTTAAAGTCTCTCTTTGTGCACAGCTTTCGTTTTTTGAATTGTTGTTAAACATCTTCAGAGTTGGGCTGGCCAAAGCTCTTTTAGCTCCGGGGCATACAGGAGGTTTTGAAAGTACAGCTGGCTTCACGGGTTCTTGTTTGGCATTGATAACCTCTTGGCTTTTGACATACTTTGCCTTATCAGCTTCTAGTCTTTCCACTGCGCTGAGTCTCTTGGGATTAGGCTCTGACTGCCTGCGGAAATAATCAGGTCCTTTGTTCAATATTCGGAGTGGGACAGCACATGTAAAAGCCACTGCTGGGCTTACAGGTTTGCCCATGCTACCTGTCTGTAGTGTTTCTGTAGGCATGTTTGGCGATTGTTCCCCCGCAGCCGTTTTGGATTCTCTTCTTGTGTTTCCTAAATGCAATGTGTAGAAACATGTGCATCAAGCACAATGGATAACAGTTGAATCTTGAAATCAGACTGTTAGCAGCAGCTCTTCATCTCACAGCTCATTAAATAGCATTGCTGTTTTATTTATCTGTTAAAAGGCAGATAAAAAAAAAGAAGAAAAAGCCCCCAGACAGAAGTCTGTATTAATCAGCTCAGCTGAATCTTTTAGTCGCACAGAAAGATGTGGGAGTCTCTTCCTTTCTTTGTATTCTACTACAGGCGGGGATCTGAAACACAAAACAAGCAATCATATGTCAGGATCAGCATGTGACATCACAACTATAGCAACAGAAAAGAAAATATTGTAGTATTTTAGCTGTTAGTGAAAAACCATTAGGTGGCTTTTAACCATTTCACTCCCAAGAGGGTTTGAAAATCTTGTAGTCTGCTCCTCAGACAGCAGATGGTTAAAACAAGAACACCTCTAAAATTACCCTACGTAAAGCATAGCATGCATGTTGACATGTGGCACAAAAGACTTTGTTTTAAAAAAAAATATTTTAACAAAAACATACATAACCACTATTGCAGAAGTTTCAACATAAGCTTTTTATTGCTCCCAGCAAATACTATTAGCCTGAACATAAATGTATAATATAACAAAAGCTAAAATAGGACAATGAAACAGAGATTAGCTCAATTCCCTATTTTGTTGTTAACAAATGCCACACTTTAAAATGAATTCATCTAAAAGGACGGTCCCCGGGGTATTTACACATGGCAATTTACTTATCATTTCTTTGCCTTAGTAATTATTAGAAATTATAGGTAAGTAGCTGTTAAAATCAAACGAGACAGCACTATTGTTCCGCACCTGCACTTCAGGCTCGTAAGACCGTGTTAATAGAGGACATGTACATACTGATCTTGGGGATCAGAACAAAGCGTGTGTTATCTGCAGCATTAGAATGTCAGAAGAGTATAGCTATATCTAGGACAAATCTAATAAACTGTCCTTATTGTGGTACAAGTATAGCAGATACATTTTGGACCAGGGTGTATTGCTGACCAAACAATTTCCTAATACATCATTTATTTAATTTTTTACAAATTGAATTTTCTGTTGTGGTTTTGTTAATTTTCAACAAATTATGACTGGATCCATTTTTTAAATGCTGGAAAAAGATCAAATCTTTAAAGCCACACTCTGGGCTGAATGATAATTTACACACTGCACTGGCCGTGTAAACGATCATTAAAAATCTGGGTGTTGTGTGCAGAGGGTGGCTACAAAATATAAACATCTTACCTTGCAGCACGCTGCCCCTGCACAGAACGCTCAGCTTCCGGGCAGTAAAGAGAAGGAGCGATGTGTCCCGAGCTGTAAAGAGCTCTGGTGGCATCACCCGTCCCCTCTTCAGTATCCTTCATTCACAAAATGTCTTGTTTGTTTGTTAAGAATACAAGACATTCTGTAATCTGTTCCAGATCTGTGATCTGTATAATTTGATCTGTATAATTTAGCTGTTGGGAAGTTGATGAAATAGCAGTTCAACAATATAGCAATTTATCTACAGTATGTAATCTAATATACAATTACTAAATATTAATTATTTTTTTTAAATTACAATTTATAATTAGTAAAATGAATCACCCATTTTTGCTGCAATGTTGCAATAATCTACTAAATTCATCACTAAATATTTATAATTTTTTTAGACATACTGTATAATTAGTAAATAAGGGTCCAACTGCTGTATAATTTTTGCAATTAGGCAAGATTGGCTTTCAATGAACTAATGTGACCCCCTTATGGAGTTATCCTATGCAATCAAGTACTTATTACCAGTTTATTTTCCCAGATTTCTAAAGTGACAACAGATTACGTTTTACGCAGTATTTAAAACTGCGGACATCAGTCTTTGCCCAGTCTAATGTCTATACCACACTCATTCACTACATAGACTAGGACCAATTCTGAGCAGAAGTCAATTAGAATTTGGATTGTGGGAGAAAACCCAAACTTTCTATTTTGTATAGCTATGAATTGTGTATTTTATTATTGTCAATATATGTCATAATACCCTCGGTTAGTAATACGATGGAATTACAGATAGCTAGAATACAAACTGAGTGTTCAGCACATATTCTATTGTGGAAAGTTTCAAACAAACTCTTTGTTGAAATGTAGAACGGTGATAGCAGGGGAGGGAGAGCTGCAAGTTACATTTTTGCAGGAAGTAAACACTAGGTTATTGCTGAGTAACAGAATGACTCTTACTGAAGTTAGATTTGGAATAATAGGAAGAATCTTTTCAGTGTCTGGGTATTTTAAGGATTATGGTTGCTCAGAGCAGCTATGGCATTAGGGTAGGACCAGTGACTGACATGTAGACGGTATACATACCAGGCGTTGAAGGTTCACCTTGCTGGATACAGGGTGCTCCTTAGTACAGGATAGCAACAATTTTTTTAACTAAAAAGGTCTGAGAGCACAGAACTACAGCAGGACTAACATGAATCTACAAGGAGAAGGTGATCTGAAAGCAGAGTTACTGAAGGAGATCACAGATTTAAAAACAAAATAGGTGCAGGGATGGACCCAAACAAAATCAAAACAAAGGAATACAAATGGACATCCAGAAAAACTAGAGCTGAGAGGTCAATGATCAGGAGGTTGTAGTAAGCAGAAGGCAATACTGTATATATACTATATATTATCTTGGTTAGACGTTCCCTACAACACTTGTTCTTCAAAGAAGAATTGTCAGACATACATCTTTCACTATACATAAATCATCAGTTAGAACAAAAAAAATAAACCTAAAGTATAACAAACATGTCAGATTGTAATGAAGCATTACAAGACTTAACAATATAGCAGAGTTGCAAGACTGAAGTAAATGTTACTGCTCTAGTAGAATACAGTAGCCTGGGGAGAAGATCTTCTGAGCCATAATAGAGAGAATGAAATTCTCCATTTGATTTCCTCAGCAAGTTCTGTAAAGTAGTTTTAAAGGTGAAGCCGTGAAATGACTTGTATTAGAAGAAATGGTTCATCTTGAAAGAATGTTCTTGGAAATTCAATTGTACAACAAACAAACGATGAGTAGTAAACAAATAGTTTTACCAAAAGAAAACAGAAGAAAGCACTATAAAAAGGCTTCAACAGCACACCACGATTCATGTTCATTGCTCAAGGGCTTTCAGTACCATTCTGCTCCCCAGCATCTGAAATATAAGCTAATTTTACAGCACAGCAGACCTTTATTGTTGAATGTGGGGTCAATTACCTAAACTGTATCAAAAGTGTGCTGGTCCAGTTTTTTTCAGGCAGCTTCTCATTTAGTGGGGGACACAAGGGGTGGTAGCAGACAGAAGTGTTTCCATATATATTTATAAGAGTAGAACTCAGAGGTTTAAAGTGACATTCAAATATTTTCCCCTCCCCGCAATGTTAATTAAAGCACTTACCTTAAATTATGTTTCTTAATCCGATCTTCTTTCCTGTCATTTTCATCTGTCCCTCCAGCGCTGCTGCGGGTCTCCGATCCAGCGCCGACTTCTCTGTCCCTGCTGGTACTTCCTGTCCCACGGTGTCTGCATGCGGGTGCACGCGTCCATATACTTACCTTGTGTCTCTCATCTCCCGGACGAAAATCTGAACTGTGGATGCGCCCGCCCCAAGATGCTTTGCGGCCACCCAAGAATTTTCAGACGGGAGCACGCAGGGGGAGACACAGGCTTGCTAGCAGTAGATATATGCAAAGAAAACAGAGGGTTTAATAACCCTTTAACTTCTAACTATTAACAAAACTGTTAATAATCTTATTTGTGTATCACTCAGCTGTAGATCATTAAACCATCTCTGAATTGGTGCTGACACTGTCCTTCATTCTGGAGGGTGGCTACTTTTGTTCCCCATGGTCCCTGGGTGTGTTGTAAAATAGCCACTGCTCCATGTTGTACAATCTCATGTTTAGTTTACTAATATGTATTCTCCACATGGTTTCTAATCCTTCCCCACTTTATCCAAAACAAACAAAAAAAACTTTTGGCTGGACTTGAGTATTTTACTCTGTATGCCTTTACCTACCTACCAACTGTCCCTCATTAAGGAGCCAAATCCCTCTGTCCCTCTTTCCCCATCAGTATCTTTTTTGACCTTTGGTACAGATATCTATGAAAAGGTGCTATTTAACTAAAAGTGGTATTCTGCACTAAAACCTCTGTACTCCTTTTATAGTCCAATTGCAAGCTGGGAGATAGACAAGACCTGCAAGCGTTACCCAGGACTTCTGCCCTGCCAAGCAGTTGTTTTAATTATGCCACAAATACAAGGATTCCAAGTGTGGATTTAACTTGCATATAAATACGGTTTTACCAAGTTACTGCAAAGATGCTCATGTTCCACATAAAACACTGATTTCTGACACCTTATGCATCCTTGAAATATAAAGTTTCAATACCATGAACCAATTCAGAGGTTTAAACACGTGTGCGTTTCCAACTGAAAGATGCTTCTTTGGTAGTTCTTTAAATGTTTGTCATTGTTCTCCCATCTTATTTGTACTCCTGGGAAAGATTGAATCCTGCAGAGTGTGACTGAATTGTCAGTGTGAACAAGTGTCCCTTACCAGCCCCACCATGCAAAGGAACACACATGCAATTATGAGGCACAGCATGATCATGAAAGGTCAGCCCAGTGGAGCAGAAGATATTAACTAGTCAAGCCTGAAGGCTGGTAATAAAAAAATACTAAAATAGCTTGCAAAACCCATGGACATTAGAAGCATTATTAACATGCAGGGGAGTGATTAAGACATTTGTCTCCAGAGAGTCAGTTGTAGAAGCTCCATTAGAGAAGAATGCAATAACATACCCACAATGCTTATGAGCTCTTCTGCAGATTAGCTCTATAGTTATGTCACCATACAGTAGTGTCAAAGTTGTAATCTGCATGGATAAATGGAAACATGTTGAGCATTTGCATTTTTCTTCCACTACGAGGAATATACATTGTAAGAAAATCTAAAATGCACCCTCACAGATCATAGAATCAGTTTTTCACATATCTGCACCATTATTTTGAAGCTCTGTGCACCATGAAAGACAAACTAGTAATTCTACTACAGAGTTTTCAAAGGAAATATATGGGTAGGTTTCTGATACACAGAGTT